TGAGAAATTTTTTCTAACCCCTTTAGTTTCTACCTTGGAAGAGAGAGAACATACTTTTATACCAATATTTATCTTGTACATTCATATCATCTACTCCTCTAAGCAGCTAAAATGGCTAGTAACCTTCGTGCACGCCATATTCAGATGACCAAAAAATAGATAGAGCTTCAAGCAAAGAAACTAGCCACAAGAAAGTCTTCACTACTTTCTACCACAAAAAGCCACTGCATTGCGCAAATAATATCATCGATCACAGAATTTTGATCAAGATCTCCTGAAATATTCTCAAAACCAACCAAATAGGTAATACTGAAGAATATGAAGATCCTGCTGCCCCTTTGAAACATCATTGCTTATTAATAAACCATAGAGAATTCATTTACTACGTCAATCATGAAATAAACTCTGGGAGGAATACAGATTTTCACAGAAGGATATAACGTGTAGTATGCAATTTGACATAGCGCGACCATCGGCAAACATTAAAACTACCACCACAACATTCTTCTCAGTATCAGAAACATTACATGTATTATCCATCTCTGGTCAATAAGTTACACAAGAATGTCAGGAGCTACCAACTTTCTCCTTCTAAATACATGCCCTGAGGGTTGGTGCTCAGAGCTGCTTCTCACAAACCCATGATACTTACGCTGATGCTCTCAATTTTAGCCCTTCAATCCTCAAACATTTATCTCTGAACTAATTAATCCTCTAGTCTCTGCATAAAAAATGGTTACATTAAAATACAAAAAAGCAAGCACAAGCATAAATGGGTAGTGGCAAAATTCTGAAAACAAAATGCTAGTGCAAGCATCAGCAAAATCTCACTAGACTACCAGGAAATGTTTAGCGCAGAATATTGAATGTGTTAGGTTCAAGTGTAAATTGCTAACTTCCATCTCATCTGTGTTATTCTTTCTGTAGGAACTGTGCTTGCTTGGATAAAATTCTACTATGTGGTTACTGATTAGAAAATGGGCTAGGGGTTCATATCATTTCGTGAGTCTCGAGAACGTTCAAAGTTCAAATCATGTTGATAAACAGACTTGTTGCCATTGATTCACAACCATAGTGGAAGTAAAAAATAATAAAATTATTACCCAAACCTGTCCATTTGAAAGGAAACCCCATGTTCACTACATCTCTTATAAAATCATCTCCACCTTGTTTAGAATGCAAACATTCTTCCAAAGAACAAAGCCCTATGAATTTAAGAGTAATTACAAATCTCCGTGAGTTGCTCATTCCTTCACAATAACCACATTCACTATATCCCATGATTCTAAAGATTTTCCCAACCTTCCGGCTTAGAAAATTATGGTCTCCAGTCTCATCAAATAATATTCTTACCAAACAACAAATGTACCATCAAATTTCATCATCAACATACCTGAGGCCTTCATCAAGAACTGCTCCGAACATATAAGGAGAATTTCAATGCTTGGGGTAAAGCAAGCCATTGAAATAATATGCTCTGTTATGAAAACAATTTTCTTTTCTGTTTTCTTTTTCACACTTCCCTTAGAACATTTCCCTGATCATATATGCTCAAGGTAGTGCGCTAAGAATCTAAGATAGGAGTAGGTACCATAGGCTATGAATTGAGGTTGTTAACACTTAACCTGCCTAACTAATATATTAAACAAGATTTGACTTTTCAGGAACTCTACTTTAATTACTTATAACTACATATGAGAAGAATAAAGTTCACCAAGGTTGTTTTTTAAGTTCTGCATCATTCTATATATTAAAATAAAAAAACAGTTGTTTTAGCAATCTGATGACTGTAATATTCCAGCATGAATGGCATAGCATTCCTCCTAGAAATATTTATTTCCTAATATTGATATGACACACCCTACAATTTTAATAAACCAGGTAAGAGAAAGGAGGCTTCAGGTTCCTTGATTCCTTGCCAACTAAGACAGAACAAATTCTTGCACGACCTGCCAATTATGCAATGTGACTATTGCATAGTGTGCCAATTACCCAAAACATAATACACACAATATTCTTACACACTGTTCCAACTTTGCAAGATCATAAACAAGGAAATGCCATCTTTCACTATACTCTCAGTTAGACCAAAATTAAGTAATGATACAACAATCGCATGTTAAAATACTATTCGTAAGTTATTTCTCAAAAGTTAGACATGACAAATAAACAGAGACTGAAACTTACCTACAAATTGATGCTGGGCATTGTGCTCCTCATGCTGCTGCCTCTTTAATGGACAACACAATGAACAATGAATCTCTTAGTTGACAATTTGAAATCACAGCAAGCTCCCTACTCTCAGTTTGAACTCAAGTGAGAATGCTAGAAACCATGACTCGAACAGACTTGACAGTTAGCTCTCAAGCCTATAGGTGCTTCAAATGTATACTTTAAGCTATCAGTCAATAAAGAAAATGATCTCAAATTTGACATCAGCATTTTAGACTCCTCACTATGCTGCTAAGCTCATCAATGACCATCGGAGGCCTTGCATATGATCCAGCAAGATTGATAGCATGGTACTCCAACCCTTTCCACTGAGAGATCAATTGAAAATGAGGACGCCGATATAAGCTGCTAATTATCTCGAGAACTATGGTATCCAGTGTAGCAGAAACCAAGTGAGTAAGACCAGCTCCATGAGCGCCTATAACAACTGAAGCTTCTTGCATAGCACGGAGTTGCTCTTTCATGGACATGTGTGCGAAAAGACCATTGATGACATTAATTTTACATTTTGTGTAATTGGCTGCCCAACTATGCACTGCGTCAAAAACCTCCTGCTCATTGCTTAATCGGGATTCTACTTTTCCACTATGACGTGGATGAGCTAAATAATCTTCACGCCTCACAAAAAGGACATTATGACCAGTAGGAGGCTTTGTTGGCATGTCTAGAAGGCCAAATGCTGCTCTTAGCATTTCTCCAAATTCTGACAATCTGGAAGTTTTTCGATCATCAGGGTTCTTCGAAAGGCTGTTTGCAGTGGTGCCTTGGCAGCTAATGTGTTCAGTTAGTCCTTCAAACAAAGCTGTCTCATAGCCCAAGGGTGAAAGAATAGCATGACGAAAACAAACAGGCCCTGAGAAGTTTTTAGCATATTTAATACTAGAAAAGAGAGCTTCCCAAGTTTCTTCCAGCTGAGTCTGGAAATGGACAGGTCAAGTTAGCGTCAAAAGTAATATTTTAATACTTGCACAAGCATTCAATCTGATAAGGTGTTTAGATGTGTCTGAAAAAGGGAAATGAAATAAAGAAAATTAGGAAAAGCGTAACTAGCATTCAGCAAGAAACCATCATTCTGTGAGCATGATCAACCAATGCATATATGTAAGCATGTGCTAATTTGAACCTAGAAACAATGCACATAAGATGGAATGGAATTGTATAACCAGCGTGGTCATGAATGTAAGGACACCAAGCATAGGTGAAATGTAGTCTTAACTTGCTTAGCCATTACTAAAGATTTGGCATTGCATCCTCCCTCACCTCACTCATAAAACAAGAGAGAGAGAAAAATACAAAATAAAAAACATAAAATTAACTCAATTGAAAATCATCTTAAGGCATGAATACTGAACAACTTTATAACATATAACTCTGTCCCAAGATTTCTCCTTCAAGCAAACATTCAAAATGGAACACACAGAATTTGCCTTCCAGTATAATCTAGAGAATTTCCACTCCGAAGACAAAAAATAAGTAGGACAACGACCAGAATTAGTAACAAAGAGCATAAATGCGACATGTCATTCATTTTGTGCATGAGATTAAACTGGAAAACAATAAATAAAGGTAGGTGTACGTCTATCTAGAAGTCATAAATGCCTCTCAAGGTTCCATGGCAAGCCTCTCCTGCTTAAGTAGCTTCCATAAGAAATTTGGTAATAATTAGGATTACATTAGACACATAGTTGAGGCTATTCATATCTCTAGTTCAAGCCATTCTTCACGGCGAACTTTAATCTAAAAGGAATACAGAAATGGTTTAGATGGTGAAGATAATATGATTATCCTGCTCACGCAATCAAGGGCTCTCCAGAATTTTAGACTTTCAGTCATGAGAAGTATTTTAAAAGCGTCACGCCTTAGTACCTCAGGTACTCAGGCAGAGCCTTGCAATATTGTGAGGTGCACTAAGTTGAGCACCTTTTGGCGCCTCAGGAGCTCGCCTGAGGCGTTGACGGCGAAACACTAAAGGTATCCGGCTCTGTTTTGAATTTTCCGGGGACTATTTAGCCCCCTATTTTTCATTGTAATTTTCTTTTAAGTGCACTCTATTGCAGATATTTTATTCTCAAAAACAAAAATATAAGGGTAAATGTATCAGGTTAATTCACGACTTATTGAAGGATTATTACTCCTGAATTGTCTTTTCATTTATTCTTCTCCCTTGGCCTTCAGTGGCAACCTTGGACCACCCTAGGCCCTTATCTTCGACCGAGTACCACCGACAATAGCCAGCAAAGTAAAGTTTGTTTTTTTCTTTTTGGAATTCGTTTTTTGTTTATTTTTCTTTATTGATTTTTTGCTATTTTTTGTTATTGTACCTAATTACCTATATCATTTCGATGATATGCCACAAGTTGAACATGAAAGTTCAAACTATGTCGCTTAATTATCTATGTTAATATTTACCGGTTATTATTTGTTAGTTACTACCCATGTTACACAGATACGGGTATGGGTGCGGACACGGACACAGGTGCAGATACGAGACACGGAAAATTTGTAAAAGTTAGGATATAGGGACATGGCCACTGTTATAAATAGCGATAAATAACCCCGCAATAGCGGCGCTAATAGCGTTAGCGGTCCCTTCCCGCTATGCTATCACCCGCTACGCTATCGCGCAATAGCGGTGACATATTGTGGAATATGTTTGTTCGCAAAAGCAACCAATAATGTGTCATAATCGGTAAATAGTGAGCGATTGCATTCGAAATTTGCTTTTTGACTGCTATTTAAAAGCGATTTGAGGTTTATTTTTTAAAAATTAAACTCAACCCTTGACCATTATATTTCACCATCTCCTGTGATTTTTAGCATACTCCCGTTACCTCTCATAGCCTCTGACACCTACCTTGATATTTCCTCTCACCTCCTTCAACGTGAGCTCCTCTTAGGGCAGTCCTGTCACCGCTAAGCTCTTCTTCTCGAAGACGACGACTTTTTGACTCCTCCAGTCATCTTCGGTATTATGTGATGGTTACATGTCTATTTCATGTTTAGGATCTCTTTAAATCATCTAATATGTACTTTTAGATTTCTTAGATTTTTTTAAATTTTTTTTAGTATTTATACATATCTAAATTAGACCGCTATTTGATTTTGCGCTTTTTACCGCTATTTTGCCGCAATAGCCCGAAATAGCCTTAGCGATGCCTCACCGCTACGCGACGCTATCCATTATCGATAACCTTGGACATGGCTATATACATACATATTAAAATTAATAATCTACATGAGACCAATATTGTTTTTCATTCACATGTTATATGAACTAAAATCCTTATACCATTTTTATGCTTCTTTTATCGAAAAATTATAAATTAAAAAACTACTCGTTTTTGAAACTAAATATCCAAACGACCCTTTAAAATCATACTTATGAACTAGGTTTGTGCTAAAACAAACTTGTCCCAAGTCCAATGAGTAGCAAAATTTGAGGTGAAGTGTACGATATACATTCAAGAAGTGTATCACAGATTCACAAGTATTTTAAATTAAAGCATGTGTTATATAATTAAATATACCTCTTAAAATTTGCTCGGAAACATGTGTTATATAATTAAATATACGTTTGAAAATTTAAGTATATATTCAAGAAGTGTCCAAGGAGTGCCGGACACGAACATGGACACAAATACAGACATGGATACAAGAGCCTAGATGAAGTGTCCGGGTAACCTAGGTTACTACTTTATTTAGATGGTTTATGTCTACTAAGTATCAGTGTTTTCAAATGCGCGCGCCTCATTGCGCCTCATGCGCCTTACGATGCGGGGGCGGTGGCGATGCGCCCCACATCTGATGCAGCAGCGCCTTTTGCGCCTCGCGTACATCCGTACTTTGTGTAGGATGCATGTAGTGCATTTCCTCATATAGTTTTTTTTGTTAACATTATAATCGAGTCTTTGTACTTGATATTCCATATCCCAAAAAACAAAATAAATCCATTGTGCTTTTTTAATAACCTTCAATTGAGGACCATTACTAATCCTTAGTTTGGATATAAGTCTTGATTTAACATTTGATTTGAAAATTTATGAAATTTGCTACTATGTTGGGTGTTAGCATTAGAAATTAAGGCAATATATTGTGATTTTGTAGCAAGATATTATTTATCATGATATTTTTTATGTAAATTCTAAAAATATGTTCTTTCGTGCTTGATTACATATATTGAAATATTATGTGTGTGGTGTGCGCCTCGCATCACTCGGGCGCGCGCATCGCGTTACGCCTTGCGCATGTGCGCGAAAAGATGCTTTGCGCCTCGCATTGCGCCTCGCGCATTGAAAACACTGCTAAGTATCCTAGTTTGTGACTTTGAAAGTATGATGGTGATTAATTTGTCTTGTGATTTGTTGACAATAATGTCTAATTGCATACTAATTTTTTGAGAGTTTTTTGAATATTTATCGCCTGAGTGAAGTTGCCTTTATTAGCGTCTCTGGCCACATGGAACATAGGAGTATAGGACCTTGTTACCTTGACCCCGTGTTTCGCTTTCAAAACACTAGTCACGTGTGGCAGATAGCCTAAATTCTTGCAACAAAATGTGATAACTCTGAAGTCCAGACTAATCATTTTCACTTATTCATACTCAATTGCAAGAAGCAATCTACGTCTTACAAAATTGAGGGACTCTTCAACAAAAATCTGTTACAAGTATTTGACAGTACAAGTAGTTGAAGATTAGAAGTGAATAGCAAAAAGAAACCAATGTACCCAGCAAATTAAGAAATTCTACAATGAGGTCCTATCACATTGAGAAGACAGGAGTTCAAGTCACAGCATTTGCCTCTGTAAGTACTAGAATGTAAAACAATAATGTTAAATTGTTTCAAGTTCAAAGACAACTAATTAAATTTGTTATATTGAAAAAATATAAAATATCCAATTTTCACTAAATTTTTTTAGAGATACTGTCAATAATTAATCAAAACCATCACCCATTAACGTGAGAACTTCATATCATACCTTGCAATGGCCATCCACAAAAACCAAATGTGGCCTACCAGGCAAGCTGGTAACTCTGGAAGAGACATAGGCACTATACCAATCCGTAACCGTGTGGAACATGTTTGCATACTCAAAACGTGTAACCAAGACCGTGGGTTCTTCAATCCACTGCAATTAATATGCACTAATATTATAAAAAATGAATAGTCAAGGAGAAGTAAATAAAGACACAAAAAATACTTATCATAAACTCTCCAGAAGCTAATATTATAAACTTCTAGATGAATTTAAATAGACTTGCATCTTGTCAGATACATTTAGATTATGTAGTTGTGCTTTTTCAGATATCTCTAAGTCCATGTAAACCAATTTGACCACCTAGATGCCCAGAAAACTTCCAGCTGCTTCAAAACTTTGCATATAGTTTGTTAAAGCATCAATAGATAGTGTGTCTTCAACTGAAAGACTAAAACTGGGGCAAAAGGAAGTCCATCAAACTCAAAATTTTATGGATGGAAGCATGAAGAATATTCTACTCTTGAGGAAGTTAACTCTGGAAATAAGCTAATAGGGAAAGTTAGTTGTACTGATTGTGCTTGTGAGCACTGAATGTAAAAACCAACATGTTGCCATGTCAAGGAAAAATGCTATGAAAGTGTCCAAAAATGATCCAACTGCAAAAAAGGAGACTACCAATACTTGAAGAGAAACTAGACAAGATTATGGATGCAGATGAAGAACGTGAAGCTTTTGAATGAGAGTGGCCAAGAGAAGTGAAGGCTCATCATAAATCTGTTAGTAAAGACAACATTGTGGTGATGCGCTCTTCAAAGTGTATGTTCCCTGAAGAAGTGTAGAGTTGGTGCATATAGGCTGGTCTGCTGAGAGAGGAAAATGTCTAGTTTTTCCAATCAAACTATTATAAACAATGATCAATTAAGAAAGAAAGTTTGCAGCAACTCATCGTTTATCCTACCTTGCAAGAAAATCATGTTTGTGTTAGAAATCCTCTGATATAGCTTAAGGGCCAGGATGAGGAGAAGTGGTAAGTGTCATATACATACATTATTGGTCCACAGCCCATCACTTTAAATTTTTGTTGAAGTGGCCATCGAAACACCAGGAGTTAAAACTTTGTAAGGGTATTTCGTGGCCACTTCCATTAAGGGCTCAGGTTCAGAGAACCATATCACAAGTCGAGTAATCCTAGTTCTAGGAGGTATAAACTTTGAATGGTGATAGCCAATAAAGGAGTTGTATGCTTAACTAGTTGTCCTACTAAGTGTTAAGATGGAATAACACTCTTTTAACACTTAAAATAGTAAGAATAAAATAATTAGAATAATATATAAAGATCAAAGGTGAGAACATTTTCCATTGTCTCTATCAACATTCATGGTGCGCGTCAAAGTAATGTCAACCCTTGGTCTCGATCAGTATTAATAATGCGTCAAAGAAATGCCAACCGTTATACCAATGCACAAATCCTCAACTCCGCAAACTAGACAGTACATATCCCTTTGATGCACGACAAATGCATTAGACAAAAATCATTGGATACTGATCCAAATTTATAAAAATACCAAGACACAAGTCATGGTGAGAATCCTTTTCAAATTGCAGCATGATTCTTTATACAACCATTACACCATAAGTTTACCTCGGAGCAATCGAGCTTCCCGGGCTCAACAACCCGGACCGAGTCCACCAAGGCCCTCATAGTGTGCTGCTGAATCTGCCCCCTCGGCACGTACTTATCAAGAAACTCATCATCCACCGCCCTGCCGACATCTCCCACATCCTCCCCCTCGATCTCGAACGCCGCCTCCTCAAATTTCGGCAGCTCCTCCTCCTCCTCCCTCCCAATGAAGCGTCGTCGCAACCCTCTTTCCCTCGTCCCTCGATCATCAGATCCGACCCCCGATACCATCGATAACCGATCCATTTCCCAAATCGAGTCCTCCTCAGCGTCTCACTATATAAAGCACCGAAGGAACCCGTCCGCGCCGCCGCTGGTCGATGCCGATAACCTGGATCCGTTCGAGAAGCCGTTGCCGAAGTAGGCCTCGCAGGACCGAGGGGGAGGGTTAGGGTTAGGGTCAGTCCAGGGGAGGAAGGAGGGGAGGGTGGGCCAGGGTTTTAGGGTTAGGGTTAGGGTTTGGGGTTGGGCTAGGGTTTCGGGGGACGGGGAGCTGAGGAGGAGGTAGATTGAGAAGGAGATGGCGTTGAGGATGAAGAGGAAGAGGAGGGTTCTGATGAGGAGAGATCGCTGTCTTCTGCTCATGGCGATGGGGTTTCAGTGAGTCGCCGAGGGGAGGGAGTGAGGATCGGAGAAGACGATCAGGGGCGGGTTATCGTGGTCCGGCGGAGTATTGTAACTAGTTTTGTAGGCGCAGCATAATATGCGAAAGGATGGCACTACAGGCACACCACCAGGCACATCTTGTGTCACGTCTCCTCTCTCAGCTACAGTACACAAAGCCCATACACAGGATGAAAAAGAAAAATGATAGGGGCACACCCCCAACCACAACTCCAACCACACCCTCTCTCTCATTTTGTTACAGTGCACCGGGCTCCACATGAGATTTAAAATTTTTAAAATCACATGTGGGACCCGGTATACTGTAGCAAATGAGAGAGAATGTGTGGTTAGAGATGTGGTTAGAGGTGTGCCCCTAATGCCACTCGATGAAAAAATCCCATATGTGGGCTCTGTATACTGTAGCTAAGAAAGAAAGTGTGGCATAAGGTGTGTCTGGAGGTGTTACCATTTTCCTATGCCAAAGGAATCATTTTGGATTTTTTCTTTTTGCATACAAGTACTCCAAACCAATTACATTAGCAAAGCTAATATCCAAACCTAAACATTTGCTAATTTGCCCCAAATTCTCCCACATTTGATGTGAAATATACTTGCTAATTTTTAACAGAAAATGATGCCATATATCTGGTAAATTCCAGCATTTTAACCAATGTCAAAGAGTGCAGGGGGGAGGTCGCAGATAGTCAGAGTTGGGACGAATGTACAAATAAATGATATTTGGCTGCCAACAGCAGGAAATTTTCTTATTTCTTCTTTTTAATAGGAATTTTGATTTTTTTTTTTTAATTTAGACAATTGCCAGTGCTGAGAAGTTGCCATTTTGATTATGAATGGCGCAGAGCGTGTCGATAGAAGTGAATGTTGAATCCTTCATTAAAATAAAAAAACAGTTCTACAGTTTTTATTGAAACTAAAAACAGGGTGAGGTACCCTGTTCATATATAGAGAGAGAGGAAAACAAGAGTAAAAATATATAAGATCTTGCAAAATTTGGAATGGACAGAACCAAAAGAAGATGTAGTCGGTAGGGAGCGGACCTTGTTGTCACCAGCCAGGCTACATCTGCCTTGTTTACATTCTTCCAGGGATTAAAGCCATGGAAGGCTATAGAAATGTTTGCTAGTAATGTTAAGACATCAAAAGTAATTACAATACACTAGTACTTCAAAAGGAGAGTGAGTGGGTCCTGCTTAGAAGTTGTCCGCCTCTGTGTCTCCCGCCCCATCTTTGGCCAGCTCCTTTAATCCGAGATCAATGACAGCCTTGTGAAGAGAGGAGGCCCTTCTACTACTAGATGCCCCTGATGAGAGATGTGGCCATGTTATACCATCTTGGACTAATACATCTGGAGGCTTGGTGGAGTCAAGGAGAAGGTAGAACTTGGTGATATCAGATCTCTCCTCTGCGGTGGTTCCACTTCTGAGAATTAGGTGTCATTTCCAATTGTTTTGGATGAATATACCTTGAGAATATGTAGAAGTGTTTCGGGAGAATGCTAATTTGAACACTCTAAGGAAGAGACTGTGGAGAGTGTTGTCCCCCAGCCATTTATCCTGCCAAAATCTGCAGGTGTTGCCATCTCCGAGAATCCAGCGGACCTGACTAAGGAAAGGGTCTTGAATAGAGTATAAGTCTTTAATTAGTTTAGATGTCGAGACTTTTGGGGGATTAGATATAGGGTTGGAGGCGTTTACAGAGTAAATGGAGAAGATGACTTTGCTGATATAAGACTCTCTGTCAAGGATTTTCCAAATCCATTTAGAAAGCAGAGCAAGGTTGAAGGGTTGCAAGTTAATGACACCTAAGCCTCATTCACTCTTGGCTTTACATACTCTACCCCAACTAACCAGACATTTAGGTTTAGAGGACTGTTGGTGGCCACCCCATAGAAAATTTCTTCTGATTTTATCAATTGCCTTGACGAGCCAACTTGGAAGTTTAAAGAATGACATATAATATAAAGGGGAAGAGGATAGAACAGAGTTTATGAGAGTAAGTTTTCCACCAATAGACAGAGACTTGCTTTTCCACAAAGCTAACTTCTTAGAGAAAGAATCTAGAATGGATTGCCACTCCCGTCTAGTGAGTGAACCTTTTTTTGAGAGGAAGACCAAGGTATGAAAAGGATAGGGAGCCAATAGAACAATTAAGCTTGTTTGCCAGATGAATTCCCCTACTAGGGACTTTGCCCGGGTAGTATAGGCATGACTTAGAATGATTCACATTGAGTCCTGAAATGTTGCCAAAAATGTTCTACAGTTGAGATGTTTTCTTCTTTTATCTTAGATATATTCCCGTGCTTAAAGTTTTCGTTACAGCTCTCTTCCTGATTCTTGGAGATAGTGAGGATACGAGCGATCAAATATTGAACGTACATGGAAGATGAACTCGATCAACTTAGGCCATTGAACTGTACTTAGTTAGCGCATACTTTATTACAAGCGGGAATTCTAACAAACCATTATCATGGCCTTGATCTCAATGTGGTTGGTGGTAAGCCCAACAAAAATTTTAAAGGTAACCCTGTTGGTAATTTAGCAGATTATATATTATCCTTAATCATGCAATTGAAGATTTATGTGCCCTTTTTCAATGGATATCAACCAGTTGGGGGAACAAAGCTTAGTGCTCTCTATCCCCATATCACAACTCACCTGAATAGCCCAAAAACGAAAAAAACATGGAGAGAAAAAGAGAGAGAGAGAGAGGAAAAAAGAAAAAAAAAGATGGATGAGAAGATAGAGAGCTAAACCACTTGTGACTTGTTTTGCTGGCCTTTTTCACCTTTTTATCAAATCTCCTAAAGTTTTTTTCAAGCAAAGAATTATTCATTATTGGGTAATTTTGCGCGACTTGTTTTTTATAGGCTAATAACGGGGGTGTTCTGATATTTCGAAAGTTGCCGGGGGTTATCTGAAAATCATCCAAAGTTAAGGGGTGTTTTATGATATTTAGCCTTTTTTTCTCTCTCCATAAGATAGGATTCTGTTACACTAGCTAACAAAAATGATCCAATTGATTGAGGTATTTTACGGAAGGTACACTCACCACTTTGATGAAACTTCTTCATGATCCATTCGCTACTCCGATGTATCATCATTTTACAGAGAACTACGCAAAGCAGACAACAATTTACTTCATACTAAAATCATAATGTAGGGGTGCCATTCGGTCCCAATACTGCTCGGATATAATACTTGTCATATCCATATCCGTTTACCAATCACGGATACAGATACAGATATACCTTGGTAATGAAAATTCACATTTATATCTGCTACAATCAAATACAGATGTACATTCGGATATATAAACGGATGCAAAACAGATATGAGAAAACTAGATAATATTAAAAAATATATATAGTTCATGTGATATAAGAGAGTTCATTAATATGTTCATTATCTAAAAAACTAAAATTAGATACCTTGATTATCAAAATTAACCTCAAATCCATTAATCTAAAGATTAAAACTATTACAACAGTATGATCAATATGCATTTGGTTATTTCGGATACAGAGTTAGATATTTCACCAAATACATATACTCCTATCGGTTATAGAGTATATCTCCTTGGATGCAGATATTATTGTGCATCACTAATAATGGAACATAATCGTTACACTTGGTTAGAATTATGTCACATCATTGCATACGGGGGAATCTCCTCAGTATCCATTAACCTCAAATAATAATCTTCAGCATTATTTATAGTTACTTGATTTACTCACAGTATATTCCTTAAAGGACAGAGTTAAACAAGGAGAAATAAAAGAAAACACCAAATTCAACTTGGTTCGCCAATTCTTCACACTACACAAAGCTTGATAAATACAATATTTGGTATTAACAACATTGAACTTAGGGAATGCTTTAGTCTGATTCAAAAGCTTATTTATAATGACCTATAACCAAACAAATCTAATGAAATCAATTTTGGTTGTAAGAAAGTTAGAAAGTAGACAGTAAACACAAAGTAGTAGCTAGCTTTCCTACTTCAATCCAAATGCAAATCTAAACATAAATCTAATTTAAAATTTTTAAGTGCAAAAAGACTACTCCACTCAGAAGTATAATAGTGACCAGAGACCTCACCTAATGCTATATATTTTATGTAGGGTAAATTATACTAAAGCCCCAAGAACTTTCAACATTTTGCAACCACCAATTACTTTGAAAATCGACCCCAATATCTTTTGGATAAATACACTAAACCTCCAATAACTTTCAAAACTCCTTTTTATAATTATCTGCAAAAATGAAGAAACTTACAGGGAATTTTCTGCAATTCCAAAAGTTATTGGGGGATTATTGTGAGATAGTTTTTGCGGGTTTACTGCTAAATGCTGAAAGTTCTCAGGGGTGTACTGTAATTTATCCTATTATCTATGGAAACACTAGGGGCTGTTTGGTTGTATGTTTTTACTTTGTAAAAGGATGGAAAGTGTAAAAAAATGGGTCCCAATGTCAGCTTTCATCACTTTCAATTGTTTGTTTGTAGTTGTGAAAATAGTGATTTCATATGCTGATGTGGCTTGTAAAGTGATTTCATAAAAAAAAAGACATGATTTTAGGAGAAAGATGACATTGAAGTTAGGAAAAAATAATAAAAAATAATTCCAACCAATATGATCATTTGAGTAGGGACCACTTTTTACACTTTCCAAATAAACAATTAAAGTTACAATTGCAAACCAAACAAGCAATTTATGATTCCAATGGAATCAAAAACAAACAAAGAAAAGTATAAAAGTGAAATTGATGAGGTGGACATCAACTTTCCAAGTTGTGTCATAAATACGCAACTTTACAAACAACAACCAAACAGCCCCTAACTATGTATGCTTTCTTGCTGTAATCATACATCAAAAACCTATTTGACTTTGTGACTTCAAAGTCTTCTCCAATTAGCTCTTTGCCGATGGACTTGGATACCCTACATTGCAGATAGATAGTGGAGAATCCACTCTTTGAATCAGAGTAGTGTATCCTTTAGTTAATATTTATGATGAGTTCTAAATAAAAAAAAAGGGAATGAGTGTGGATATCTCTAGAGCAAGTCATAACGTCTCACTGAACGGTTGTGACCTGAGAAGTTGTCTCTCCCCTATCAAATAATTGAACAGTTGTGACATCACAACTCTGGTCTCTGTCGAACATGAAGAGGGGATCCAGTGCAGAGGCTCCCACCATGATGATGTCTGGATAGAATCGGAGGTACACATACCGTGCCTTGCTATAACGTTAACTGATCGAGGAATGTGTAATCTGACTTAATGATCATTTCCTATATACACGTACCCCGCAATTACCTAAAGATAACAAGTTGCCTTGTGATCACAATAGCATAAAATCATTACTTCTGTTGAAAGATTCATAAACTCATGTAGTAAACATTTTGTTACATAGGCTCACAAGTGCAGAAACTGAAACCACTCTTGCTGAATGATACACACTGAGCAAAATTGTTTCGTTTAAGCATTCTGATGGAACTCCACAGTTGCAGCAAAGGGTAAATTCCACAAAATCCTCAAGAAGGTTTGGAAATGTCACATAACCCCAAAAGGTTTGGAAATGTCACACAACCCCCTAAAACTTTTCAGATAACCCCCAAAAGGTTGGGGGTTATCTGAAAATAGATTATGGAAAATGCAAAAGTTTTTGGGGTTAGGTGATATCTTCTACAATTCTGGTTATATATGCATGCTCATCTGACAACCTCACTCCATTACATCAACCACTTCAACCTTATGTGCACAAGATAAATAAATAAAGAACAAAAATCTCATACAAATCTAATCTGCACAAGTTCTTTCTAGATACCACCTAACAATCAACACCTTATCATCAAAACTAATCATCAACATCTCATGTGACTTCTTCCTTCTTATTTTATACAACCTCATACTTTATCTAAAGGCTTTAGCCATCTAATTTTAAAGATGTACTTTCTGTCCTATCCCCACATTCCTCTTTTAGATTCACCGCCAATAAACGTTAAGGCACTTTTCGAGTACCAATTCATTAAGAATGCTGTTTGTTATTTCAGACCTAACACCCAATCCAAGCATCGATGCTCCTCTCCCGAAAATGATTCTATAGTACTCTTGCATTATATCATGATATAAATGAAGGACGATCTGATACCATCATGTGTCATGCAAAATTCGTCTTGCCCCCATTTCAGAGCCAACATTCTTCTACAATTCTGGTTATATATGCATGCTCATCTGACAACCTCACTCCATTACATCAACCACTTCAACCTTATGTGCACAAGATAAATAAATAAAGAACAAAAATCTCATACAAATCTAATCTGCACAAGTTCTTTCTAGATACCACCTAACAATCAACACCTTATCATCAAAACTAATCATCAACATCTCATGTGACTTCTTCCTTCTTATTTTATACAACCTCATACTTTATCTAAAGGCGTTAGCCATCTAATTTTAAAGATGTACTTTCTGTCCTATCCCCACATTCCTCTTTTAGATTCACCGCCAATAAACGTTAAGGCACTTTTCGAGTACCAATTCATTAAGAATGCTGTTTGTTATTTCAGACCTAACACCCAATCCAAGCATCGATGCTCCTCTCCCGAAAATGATTCTATAGTACATCTTTTCTACATCCAATCAAGATGTACTTAAAACTGTACAACCATTTCAATATACTACTGCAAAGTACATAACTCACCAAATTATTTTTGATTACAATGATTCTTAACATGGTATCAGAGCACCAGGTTTTAAAAACTATTGGGGTTCAAACCTCATCAATTCTGAATTGTCTAGCTAGTGTACGCCCACAGTCCAACAGTTAAAGCTTTCAGATAAAGTGGGTCTTGACAATAATCAGCATAAAAATTTCCTAATACGGGATCAAACATTCCAAATACAGGATACATAAGAAATTATTCAGAAATACCACAGGTAGTAGATAATGCCAACTCTACTATGGGAAAGAATAGCTTTTGTGTACCAAAAAACCCACAGTGTCCAAATCCAACCTGCTTATAAAGCAGCCCCCTACCACTGCCTCTTCCACCACTCCATATCAAGCCAAGCCTAGAATAACAAAGAACTCTATACCTTCTTACCTTCTTCATCTCTTGAAACCCTTACCCTAGCCGTAACCATTCTGATTCCCGCTTCAACCCATGTCAGCCGCCATGTGGCGGAGCAGTGAAGCGCGGTCTTCGTGTTAGTCAGCTCAAGAAGAGCTCCCGTGTGGCTGATGAGAGCTCTATAGGATCTCTGGTGGTCGACCAAGGCCAAAATGGCGGTGACCACCACCTGTCAGTGTTCCTAGCAATAATACGGGCTCCGATGGTGGTTGCATCATGCTTTGTGGGCAAACCTAATGGCATGGCATCAGGAGACAACCTCCAGTCTGCTGACATGGATCAATTCATGATGCATGATAGCATGCGATATGCAATTTATGTTTAGACTTTAGTTTCAGGTTTCTATTAGCTTTTTTGTGCACGTAGCACAGTTGTAGAAGAAGTTTATTTGATGGCTGGCTTCAGGTTACCAACCATGTGGTTCTTTTTCTTCTTCTTTCTCCTACTCTTTCGGCTTATTTTTGAAGCAATTAGGTTCAGTTAGGGCTCTGTAACTATCTAAGCTTATAAATTATTGTATAAGTCATTGTATAGGTCATTACTTAGTAGCTTCATGGGAACTAGAAAGTATGAGAATTAACTTCTCCTCCCTTCTCATCTCTTCATTTTCCAGCAGATTTGCCTCATAATCATGAAGAGTAACAAGATGGTATTAATTCTCATCAAAATGTCATATAGTTGTATATAGATTCCAATCTAGTTTCAGATTTGTCTGTTTTTTAATAATTGGAGTTGTACAGAATATTTCATCTTGTTTTTCTTTATTATTTTTTTCCTCTTATCTTTTCCTTTAAAGTAAAGGAAAGGTTAAGTCACATGTTTTCATCAAAGATAAGAACGAAAGTACAGCACATAAGTTCTTCATGAATCACAAACAGAAAGAGAATCTTTCTTACAATTTGAATTAATAAAACTTTTAAAACTGCAAAAAAAAGTAATAATAATCAGACCGTGAAAAACAACATTTTAAGCTTTTTTTTATATATATCATAGTTTAGAGGTAAGACAAAGATAACAAGGTTTAGTAATATTTGTGGAAAACCAAGCACTGTTGATGGAAATATAATGGTCCATAAATGATATACTTGAGTGCTCACGTGTATTAAATAAATATACAGGTGATCCTCAAAAGAGTTGAGCTAGTCAGTTTCCCTATCTTTCAGATCACTTGGCTAAATTTACAGGTCCTGAGAATAAAGGTCTGTAATTTACATGACTTGAGGTTTGATTCTAATTGGCTTCCATTAAAAACTTAAGAAACTATGACATAGCGAGATTACACAAATAGAAAGTTTTACTCATGCTCTGTTACCTACTTCTGCACAATCAAGTTTGATACTAAAGCAACAAAGGTCTATCATAATCAACTATTCCTATCTGAAGTAACCACTGGACCTTGCTGTTTTCTAAAAAACAATAACGTATGCTGACCTTTTGACTAGATTAAACCATATTAATTAGGAAGCTTTGAGGCAGCCAAACCTAAACTTTAGGGTTCCCTTCTTTAACCTTACTTCTATATATATAAACTTTCATATTGGCTTAGATTATAAAATATTAGCAGGTTTAGTGTCTTCAGACCCAGAGCTTTACAATGCACTGGGGAATCGAACAATTTTTCAAAATAGGCCGATTTAGTTTTTTATTTTTCAAAATCGACCGTTTTTTTTTATTTATCAAAATCGACCCGGTTTTGTTATTAGCAAGCTAATCACTATCCTAAATAGTCGGGGTTGCCAACCATGACTAATTAGGACATTAATTTTTAGGGTTTAAGGCCTTTAATTAGGGTTTAACACCCTCCTAAATAGTCGCCCCTCCCCCCCCCCAACCCAAACCAAAAAGAAAAAAAAAAACCCAACCCTGTGAACTTTGAAATTCTACGAATCCCGCCTTAACTATCGAAAAATCACATGCACAATGCCAAACTGGTAGAGTAAAATGTCTATAAATGCGAACTGGTTGTTGTCTTGTTCTTCCACATAATGCTCTTCATTCAAAGTTTTCAAAAAGACTTTGATTTTTGTCACAATTCAAACTTATTACTCTAAACCTGAAGGAGGTTTAATGCAAAATCCTCCAAGTTCAGGGGGTTTTCTGAAATTTACCTTTTGTTCTTCTTCAAATTTTGCCTTAGTTCTAACATACAAGGTCAGTGATTGGATGAAACTTAGTACTGTCAAAATCAAACACTGGACCAGACATGGTACAAAATAGAAAAGTGGTGGAATCCAGTTTGATTGACAATACATGAGGTGCAAAATGGGACCCTGCCTCAACTTCATGGGAAAGTTTTGATAAGGTAGCTAGTGGGAAGTCATGATGGAAACTAAACTTATGAGATTGATAGGGTCCTCTTATGCTAGTGGAGGGATAGGCAGCTTCAGAGATTATTGGTGGATGTAAAGTAGTGAAACAATACTCTTTAAAAGCAAGCTATAGAAAATTCTAAGAAACTTTAATTTAGTTGAAAGAGAAATCTTATCAGTATTATTGTCATCATGAGTGATAGAGACGGAGGTAATATTTACTTAAATTTATGCACTAGTCTTTAATGGGTCTAGCTTCAAGGCATGTACAGCAGCATGAAATTAAAAAAATTTGAAACTTGAAGGATTACATATAACAACAACAATAATAATAAAACCAAAAGAAATTAGAAGAAATTGAGAGGGAATGTTACTCACGTCATACATATTAAGACCTACAAAAGTGGAGTTCAATTAAGATAAAACACTATACTAATCGCGACAAATTACTTATCAACCCAAAACAATAATCAGAAGTCAAACTGGAAATTTATTTTTTTTGAGTTAATTATAACGGTTTAAAATTTTAGTTTGAATTAGCCCCTCTCTGGAAACAACTAGCTCCCTTAGTTTGGTGGCTCCAGCTTGACTATCTAAGCTTAAAACTCAATAAGGATAAATATAGGGTTTTATGGTTGTAAGATGGCAACTCAGTTAGCAAAATGAGCTATCAAAAGAGTAAGCGATGGGGCCTACAACTTTTGATGCGACAACTAGGGTGGGCCTCATCACCTATGTATCTCTTGGTAGCTCATTTTGCAAAATGAATTGTCACCTCATACCTATTTTTTGTTAAATAATATTTAAGAAGTATCTAACATCTTTCCATGATTAAAATGTATAAGCAAAATCTATTAATGCATCTTAGTTATGCCTTTAAAGAAAAGATAAATCAATTGGTGAACTTCCTTTTCTGTAGAATATCACAAGATGTTATTTACATGATCACAATGAAGGTCTACTCGTGAAGCACCAAAAAACTTCATTGTATTTATCAAGTATTTAGCCACGTTCATAGATGTGATAGTCCCTAGATCCTTCTCTTCCATGAACTTATTCTCAATGGATTTGCTAATCTTCAGGATTCACTTTATGATTTTCAAGGAAAAGAGCTTTTTCTGGGATTCTTTATCATCAATCTCCTCTTTCTTCTCCATTTGGCTTGATAACATATTGCTCGTTATATACATTCTAGTTGAGACCATTGTTCAAAAACTTTGAATATATCAAACACATTTGGGATGAATTGTGGTAATTACTCCATAGAAATTCCAAGTTCTAACAAATCATCATAGCAAATGGTCACACAATTGTCAAGAGAACTCTTTTTTAATTTAAAGAGACCATATGTATAAAAAGACCATATGTATAAAGAGACCATAAACTCATCCGTGTTGCCAAGCAATTGGAGTAAACCAGCTCGAAAGAACACTGTGTTTTCCTTCCTGCAATAAAACTTTCCCTCTCTCTCCTTTTGGACATAGACAAATTACTGAACCAAATATATGTCTTTTTGTTTACGTGACTGTTATGTTTTCTTTTTTCATTAACAAGAGGATTTGACTACTCTGATCAAGATTTTAATGATTGGTATCAGATCAAGAGTTATCAGATCCAAGATTCTCTTGCACACACAAGACCATCATCTCCAAGTTAAGCAAGATGACAACAACAAAGTTCAAGGAGGAGGAGTTATGCTTAAAAGATAAAGGTGATTTACAATATTGTAGTTGCTAAATTGATTAACCCCCCCCAATCCCCCCTTCACATATGTTTACCTGATAATATGGAAGAAACTCCATACTCTACAATGTCTCAATTGGACTGTATCTTGTAGCTTTGGGTGAAATGAGATTCTTGTACTGGGACGATAACTAATATTGGCAAGCTTTTATATGGGAAAAAACTTGTCAAATAACAAAGATATACCCTCCCCAAAAAAGGAAATTATACCAATAAACATATAAATATCTTCAACGAAATAGTGAACATCTATTATATCTGGGTGTTAAATTAGAAAAGAACAGAAATTCTTCTAATTTTTACTTTGCATTCACCATCTTATGGTCTAATGGTGATCGTTATATATGGAAGAAAAACACTTGAGAAACAGAAGGTAAAGACTACTCCTTAGAGTAATACAGTCATAAAAAGACCAATTCTTAGAAACAATAGTCATCGAAGTTGCTGAGGAAGACGGAAGTCATGAGGTTGAGGAAGATAGAACTGAAGGTCAAAATCTAAATCTTCCAACAAGACAATAAGACAACAATGGTGACAGATGCCATTTCTTGCAATGAGCCTAAACACAAAACATTGTAGAAATTATAAAGCATGGTTGGAGAAAAAGAGAAAGAAGAAGCGAGAGAATGACATATCTAGTTAGTCTGTATTCAGAGCGATGAGATAAAGAAATGGTGTGATCTCTTGCTGCCTCTACAAAAGGCACTTAGTTACTTTGGTGCTTGGATTCTTGATTATGATTGCCCTTATCATATGTGCCTGCGCTAAAGTTATTTGGAACCTATGTCGATTACGACAAAGTAATATCCCAAATAGGAAACAATAGAATGTGCAAGACCATAAGTGCCGGTAATGCTAAGTTGAAGATGTTCACTATACTGTACAAGCAATGACATTAAGTGGCAAATGTCTCATGATGCAACTGTTTGCTCTAAAATATTAACATTGACGAATATATGAGTATATGAAACTATACATCCCTTGATAAGGTGTAACATATCATATTTACATCTGCAGTAAAAATCTTAGCATTGAAAAACACTTTTATGCAGTATTGCAAGTATAGTAATACTCACAGATGTCACTTCTGACTTCTTTAGAGAATGAATTCTTTTCTCAAAATCCCTCTTAATGAATCCAGCACGTTTTGCTCCCCAGTTAAGCTTTGAACTAACCCTTTCATGTGAGATGGTTAAGCTTGATCAATAATTCAAAATAAATGCAGTAGAAAAAGTATATCATGCTACAATTTGTATGAAACAGAAACTAGGTAGTTTTCTTTAATGCTTGTCTTTTGGCTTTGTTTATGATTGGTATAGATACCAATAAATCTATATAACAGAAACCAGGTAGTTTTCTTTTATGCTTCTCTTTTTGCTTTGTTTATGATTGGTATAGATACCAATTAATCTATATAAATCATCTTTTTGACCAGATGCAGTAACATTTCAAATCACTTATTCAAGTGTCATTTCCAAGTGAGAATTTCCAGCCTCAATATAAAAATCTTTGAGATGCTTGTGGTAATATATTTATATGCTCGTTTATCGACAGGACTACACTAGGAATCAGGTACCTTGTTTAATAATTGCAAATGTTGTAGAATCAATGGGATGCAAACTCAGACTACGTTTAGAGGTCAGACAATTAAATTATAACAACATTGCTCGTGATCTTCACAAATCAAAATCTATATGAATCAGTATCAATGCAGGTTCGGATGCTTCGCGCAACCAATCTTATGGACTATTTATTTTGTGACTCAAAACTTTTCTAGAGCTAATAGTTCACAAGCAGATAAAGGGGAAAAAAACTGAGTTTTACATATTAAGGACCAAAAATTAAATTAAATAGATGTCCTGTTAGTTTTGTATAGAGAGGATTTGGTGCCAAATCTTACAAAAACATCTGATCACTTTTAACGAAACTGATGGGCCACAAAAATTGAAAACCCACATCGTTAATCATCATTCGCTACATCTTAAAATGCCTAATTAGAAAAAAGAATATGAAATATGAATCTTGTGGAGGTTTGATATCCATGCATTCAATATTTAAAACATATACAACCCAAAAATTAACAAGATAATTGCACGACATTTATCATGTGAAAACATTCACATGAACTTATTGTTTCCTCTTTTATGTCCCTTTGTAACTAAAAGCATATATAGTGCAAGAAGCCTTGATGAACAAAAGCACCAGATTAACAGAGGAGGCTTACCAGTGGTATAATGGCGACAATCATGTTTCCCAACTATGAGATCAGTTGACCAATCTTCAGTGAATTTACGAGCCATTTCAACTCCGTCAGCTTGCGAGAATCCGATGAACCAGCACCTTTTTCTAGGAAGCCTACTCAATAACCTCTTCATGATAACACCTAAGAAATACATATAATGGCGGAATCCATTAGATAATCCAAGAACACGTACTGTTAACTCCCTCCTAAGAAATGTATTTTAGTCAATAGAAATTCTATTTGAAATGATACTAAAAAAGATAAACAATATTCAACATTGTCAGTAGAAAAATTTCAGCAAAAAAATCTAAAGTGGAACAGTAAAAGCTGTAATACTATGTGTTTCCTTGTTTTCTTCTCCTTAAAACAGATACCTTGACCCTATATATTTAGTCAAACGAAGCCTTTGTCGCCCGATGGCCATCTCAATATACTGCAATCTAAAACTGAAAACCTGAATTGATGATCCAAGGGTCTTTCTTCTAGACGCCTGGTGGGGTATGAGAGGGTTGGATTCCATTTGGATTTTAACGGGTCTGAACCTTATATATACCTAATATCCCAACTTGAATGCACTTCACAATATATATATCAACCAGCTTCCTATAGAATTCATCCCCTTAGAGCAAACCCACAATCAATCTATGATTATTGAAATAAGCTCAGGCATGATGAACAACCACCTATTAACTTTTCTTTCCATGGACGAGGATAGCACTGAGAAAACCAAGGTAGTACATTCAAATTAGAGTTTTGGAGTACTTGAATTTCTTGGAGAGACACCAACAAGATGGAATCCCAATTTCCTTTGGACAAGTCTTCTTACCTCAGCCAGTATAATCACACATTCTCATTTACCCCCACCACAGAAGATGTTATTTTTCATTTCAGACAATCTTCTGCTTTTTTCTAAAGTATCCTATATTATGCAACTGAGGTGATAGAGCAGCTACCTATAAAATTTTAAATTTAAATGAGCATTGCCATGTGAAATATAAAAATTTTAATGTGTGGCTCATGAGAAAAAGAGGGAAAAGAAAGTATGATATAACTAATGCAAGCAACAAACAAAATAGGAGTTGGCAACTGTAAGGAGTTGGCAGCGATTTTCATGGTCAAAGTATTAGATATGAAAGATGACCATAACAATGTATTAAAGAGAGTTTTCCTTCTTCTACCATGCCTGATTATTTGAGAGCAAATAAGTAGAACTGAGGAAGAGAATCAACAGCAACTCAAGGTTTCTCTTACTATTTCATGTGAAAAAGAAGGTGTAATAGCCAAGACAATGTTACTGAACTACAAACCTGATTATTTTCTAAAATCATAACCCAATTTAGTCTACAAATATCAAGCATAGATTCACCTGGCATTCTCCTCCCAGAAAGAGCCGCTAGCACTAGGTAAATATTCTCTGGATCTTGAGGTTGGAAATCAAAAACAACTGCCTGGAAAAAGATAAATCTCTTTAACTTTATCAATGAAGCAAATGTTTCTTATGTTGGGTTTGAGATTATTAGTAAGATTGAATAACAAAACAAAAATAACAATTGTTAAAAAAAAAATACTCGTCAACTTTTACTTAATGATATACAAAGTGGATGCAGATTTCGATAGAAGTACAGGATCATCAAAATTATAAATGAAACAAAGTATAATTGACAAATATTAAACAATTGACCATAGAGAATTCATGCTAAATTGATTTCATAGTCCCCCTGACTCTTTAATCTTTTATATGTACACTGCACTTCTAGGACATTATGCTATGCTCTACAATTGCTTGAGGAACTACAGGGGTTATTTCAATTCTTTCTAGCCTACCAGGACAAACACAAATCTCAGTTATCCAGCATGATTAGGTTAAGTTGCTAAGAAAACACTTTCCATCTGTAACTTAAGCCATTTCGAACTCTCATGTCGGCATTACCATTTGAGTTATTTTTACACAATAAATGGAAATCTTGGCCGGTTGAGATTACCTTTACAATTCATGACATGGAAAAATAGAGTCAAGAATACATGAACAGTAATTGTCTTTTAATATATGTAGTCAGTCAGGAGAGAATATCTCTCAAACATCACTGCAGATAATGCCTCATATGTATTTTAACGTTATGGTCCATGAACGACTCATCAAACACTCTGTCGAAGTCCTCAAAACCCACCAAAGTAAAAAAGTGAAAACGAGTAAATAATGGTCATAATCATAGATCTTAGTCGTGTTCAATAGTATTTTATAATTAAATGGACAAATAAGTAAGATTATGTAACAGAAAATGATGATGTTGTGATCCATAAATTTGACCGTTGACCGCAAAATATAATGGTATGCCTCACTTGTGCCTAAAATGAAGCAGAAGATATAAAATGTTGCCCCCAAATTGAAAACAGAAAAGATACCCAAAATTCTTCATTGCCGCAAATCATCAAACAGTTGCAGGGCACGGGCACCACAAATAAAAATTCTTAAAAGTTGGATTTTGAGAGAGACCCATGTTACCAAACAGAATTAGAAACTAAATTAAATTTTTAAAAAAAAGGTGAAAAGAGGAGACCTTGGATTGAGATTGAGCTGGTTTGATGATGACCATGAAGTGTTGGAGATCCCAGAGGCCCAATGAATAGGCAGCGGACATGAGCAGCTGAGGTGGACCCCTGGCGGCTCTTAGAGGTACGGATGCCACGTAGACGGCGTCTCTGAGCTTGCCATGGCCTTGATTTGGGGGAGAGAGGGGAGAGGACGACGTAAGTTTAAGAGACGCACAGAGAGCCATGAATGAGCGTTGGCGCTAACTTCAGTTCTATCCTTTTTATTTTTATAGGGTAAATTTCACATAACCCCCCTAAATTTGAGGTATTTGTCTCATATCCCCTCTAGACTTTATTTATCTCACTTAACAACCCTGAACTATGGGGTGTCTCACAACCCCCCACTACCACACCCAAAATAAAACAACTTTGAACATTTCACCCCGGAACCCTACCTCACATATAATTTGCGCAAAAAAAATTTGTTTAGTTAAATTTCCATGGTAGAGAAGGAATCCAGAATTCAGAGGAGGGGATATGTTGTAGTCAAGGACAAATGATAAAATTTGAGAATTTTTCTCTCTAGTAAATTTTAACTATTTGCAATTATCAGTTGGGTTCTGATGAGAAAATGTCAACAGTTTTTTATCTTTTTTGGGGGGCGTTTGTTGTGTGTGTGTGTGTTGGGGGGTGGGGGGTTGTTAAAGACACCCCAGAGTTCAGGGCTGTTAAGTGTGATAAACAAAGTTTAGAGGGGTTATGCGAAACACCATCCAAAGTTTAGAGATTTATGTGAAACTAACCTTTTTTTATTATGTGTTTTAACTTTTTGTCAGCTATTTTTTTTTTTTTTTGACAATTTTCAATTGAGAATTTTTATAAGAGAATTGTTTTATTTAATCTTTTTCTTTCATTTGATAAATTTCCTATGAGGGCATCTTTTTTTTTGCTGTGTGTGGAGATAGTTCTGATTTGAAAACTTCAGCTGAGCTCTAATTAAGCAGAACCTAGGTGTTGTTTGGTCGAAAGGAAACAAGGTTGTAGCAACAAAATCTGCAGCCTCAAATGCTCATTTTCAGTATTTGATTAATATAATAGTGGGAATAGTAAGTAGGTTTAAATTTTGTTGTAAAATAAAAGTTGCAGCACCTATTATTGCCGTACCTCGTCATAAAAATTTGCTGTGATTGGATGAAGGGTAGAGAAGGAAAGGGGAAGAGAAATTTGAGTTTAATCTTATTTGGATTAGATGCACGTTTCAAGAACTACTTATAACTGAGATTATGAATAGCACCAGGTTGTACAGTACCAATACAAGATGTCAGCAGCAGTGAACTCCTCATAAACTGCATTTGAAAGAGCTCTGGTGCATATAAAATTATCAGTAACCCGGTAACCCACCAGAGACTTCAATGACAACAAATAAATCACCCTAATCGGAAACTGAACATTGTGTCTTTACTTCTGTTCCTGTCTGGCAATCTCCAATACATCACAATCCACAAACACTATGAAACTAACAAAAATATGCTGATATCATACAACTTGTGCCTTTCGGGTGCCCAGAGGCTTACTCTAGTAGTTTTCGACAAATTTAACACAATGTACAGGAGCAACTCGAGATCTTTCTCAGTCCCACAAAGGAATGTCTCAAACCTTCACTCTACTTATGTGACCTGTGGCTGCGAACAAAAACATTAGGAGTTACTAAATGTCAGAAGTACATCTACTGAAGGCAATGTTAACTAAATTGAAAAGAAATTGAAATAAAATTGTTTGTTTTTCCCAGACTAGTTTGTCAAGATGGTAAGTGGACAGTAGACACTACTCGAGTTCCAAAATGGAGTATAAGATTCTAAATTATTTCAATTGTTGGATTATATAATTTCCAGTTTCTGAAGTCAGTTACCTGACTAAGAAAAATGAGTTTAAATGTTAAAAAAAATCAGAAAAAGAGGCTCATATAAATGAACATGGAAACTGCCATTTTGACCAGTTTATTTTGATCAATTTGATGGCCAAGTTATGGTGCAGATATCAGCTAAATTCTCAGTTTATTATAGGGATAGGTGATTGGGATAATGCTGGGCCCCTCTCTCCCTTCTATACCTCCATCATGAGGAAAGGAGGCATTTCACCCTGTTTCTCTCCTAAACAGCTCCTGCACCGTGCTAAAATTTCAGCAGAGGCTTCAAACACCATGCATTAAACGCCAATAGTCCTATGACCTACAAAGGTATTTATATTTCATGAGCATAAACAAAAACAAACACAAAATCTATAAGAGAGAATACTTACAAAATCATACCTTAGGCTTAATAGGCCGATTATTAAATTGATAGACCAAACTTTGGGCCGGCAGTTATAGTACTATCTGCTAGGACTGTTCATTATTCCTTATTTTCCTATCAGTATCTCCAGTGTCCTGGTATTCTTCTGATGACGCCAGTTTTCTCCTGCACCAATTTATGGCTTTAGCACCCACCAATTTATGGTTTTATCATACGAGCTATTAAATTTATAGTCCGTCCTTTTGAAACTCATAGAATTTATCATACATTAAACCCAATATTCCACCAACCCAGAATACAATTCACCAGAGACCATGAATAATTAATGGTCACAAGAACCTTTTTCTTTTTCTTTTTTCTTTTTTTTTTCCTTCTTTTTGGGATGGGGGTTCTCTCATCTTTCCTCTTAGCATTGGATGGTCTCTCTCCCTTCATCACTGTTTCAACTGTAGGACAGCCTGACCAGATGCCTAGGCTGTTCGTGAAACATTATCAGATATTGCTACCACCTGATAATGGAAATGTTGGAAGCACAGACTATTGTCTTAGGAGGTACCACCAAAGGTATACGCGAAATCATAAACGGTGATACAGATAGCAGGATCAAAGGTAGGTACTTGTTTAGTCTTCATTAGTGCTTAATATGATAGCAGTTTCCAGCTGACATTTCCACATTGCTCGTAACAGGTGGAAGGTAAGGATGCATTGAAGCTTGAATGATGTGCATAAAGTAATCAATCATTGGGCAAGAAGGTATTGGTTGATTTACTGTCTAAAAGCAAGCTTTATTGTTCTCTTTGCTGGTAAGATCATCCAATTAACCAGAAATAGTCCAAATATATAATTGATTGAATCCAGAGCATAACTTATCATCATTCTGAATTTGTGCATGCGGAATCAACTTAACATGCTAATGGGCAGTTAAAAACAAGATTAAATACCATTTTCCACATTCATTAAAGACTCATGTTCTCTTTTGCTGGTGCCACCATCCAATTAACCACATATAGTTCAAAGATATAATTGATTTAATCCAGAACATAACTTATCATCTTTCTGAATTTCTGCATGTGGAATCAACTTAACGTGCTACATGGACAGTTACGCAAATTACTGCTCGTCATTTAGATCAGGTAGTTAGCCATGTTGAGTAATGCAAGGGAAATAAAGATGTGAAGCATCTCACCATATGGCTCAAGAGGAACTCCATTTTCTTCAACAGTAACTGTTTGCTTCAAAAGGTCTCCTTTTCACAATTTCCTGCAATATGGCGTACAATTGTAAGAAACACAATCTTCTAATACAAGAAAAATACATGCTCACACCATACATGTCAGACTGACAATTATACAAATATTATAAAGAGTATACATTAGTTAATGTCTTTTCATGTCACTCTTTGACTTGTGTGGTGCCTCAAAAATGAAAGCAATTCTCTATAGCAAAGTTTCCTAGAGTAGAAGAAGACTCTTGGACTTTTGTATGTTGCATGAGCTCAAACTACAACCGTGCGAGTCTTTCCTACCCAACAACTAGCCTACTAGAGCCCTTGCAGCTCTGTTCTACATAATTTCCTCAGGAGGGAAACTCACAGGGTTTAATATCAGGGTGACAGCTGACAAAGAATTTTGACAAGTTTCTTTCTCAGTACAAATATATCCTGTATAACATTCAATAGCAAAATGTTCACATGGTGACAATAATAACTTGCTCATGATAACAATATTGAAGACGACAGGCGTATTATTCTTATGTCATATCTACGCAAGGAAACAACAAAGAGAATAATTTTCATTACTCCATCTTAATTGTGGTTGTTCCTACTTGCAGCAGTTACTTTTAAAGAATATTTCTGCCATACAAAAATATTAAAGTTAGGCATGAAACGAGTATTTATGTAGGTATCTTATTGTAAATTTGATTTAACTAACTGCTACAATAATTCGGTAGCTTGTCCAGGTCCTAACTCCTAATTAAGCCAAGGTTGGGAAGTCCAGGTCAAACCAAACAGCATAGGTCAGTGTCATGTCAAGCCTAGATTCTAGGCTCAATATATTAGTTATGGGATGATGCTTTCATTAGTGACTCCATTAACTGACATGCAACCTATTGAGCTCTGCCATTAAATATTAATTGAACGGATCTTCAGTAAATGCTGTTCATATATGAACAGACATCTGATTTTCTATGTTCAATCCAACAACTAAACATATATTATATACTAAACAATATAAACATATACTAGATAGTATGTTTATGGCTATATCAACGCATGTAGTGTCGGCATGAATCATTTAAAGGCCTTGTTCTTGAACATTGGCGACAAACCCTTGCTTCTTCCCCTTTGGCTGATATCAGCCTCAAGCTCAAAAAACTGAGGCTATCCCTCAAACAATGGAACCTATCCACTTTTGGTAACATTTTTTTCTCAGAGGGATGCTCTGGAATCTGAAATTTCCTTCCTCACATGAATCTATCTTGCAGGCTGGATGGAATCCAGACACTTATGCTCAGCTCCTTGGGTGTAAAGCCAAATGGCAGGAACTCATCATTCGTGAGGAGATCTTTTGGAAACAAAAGTCCCGCATCAAATGGCTCAAAGAGGGGGCCTCTAATACCCAATTCTTCCAGGGCATTGTGCGTAGCAAAGTTGTCCAAGCGAAAATAGCATCTATGAAAGGCCCCAATGATGAAATGCTACAGGGCCTGCCGCCATTCATGAAGTTGCGGTTTCTTCTCCAAATTATTCACTTCTGAAAATCACACTCTGAGAGAGGATATTCTGAACTTGATTCCAGTCAAGGTCAATGAAGAGTCTAACTCCATGTTGCTAAGACCCTTCACTCCAGAGGAACTGCACCATGCGGCTGCCGCTATTCCTGTTGACTGAGCGGGAATGGATGGCTTCTCTGCCTCGTTCTTCACTTCTGTGTGGGATATCATTGGTGATTATAACCTTGCG